GTATTAGCTCCTTAGGGGAATGCACTTCACTACTGCACTACTTCATGTTGTACATTACTGCGGTGTACACACACACACACACACACACCCAGCTCATTAATAATAATTACAGAAGGCTGAATGTGTTTCATTCACCACGTTTAATGGAGACCAAAATGTGTGTGTGTGTGTCCTCTTTGAGCTCCCACTACATTGAAATGAGGCTAAAGAAAAGGGAACTTTCAAAAACGTTCACACTCCATGTCACTTTCTTTGAACCGAACGAACGCATGATGTAAAAGTTTGAGAACAGTTTGACTGGGTTGGTAGGTCTGGTGGTCTACAGTTTTATGTCCCGTCCTACGGGAACCCCGGGGGGTAACATGCGTGTGGCTTCCGCCTCATCTCTCCAAAGAAATCCAACATAAAAAGTCTGTTGCATGTGTAGCAGTTTTTTTTCCACAGAGGAAAAAAAAAACATTAGTTTTTTTCTACAAAATGTTATTTTAAACGGAATGTATCTCTCAACGGAAAGAATTATGTTAAGTATGTGTAGTATGTGTGCCAAATACACATACAAAAGCAGCTTGGGGGGCTCGAGGTGAGGTGGGTACTCCCAGTGAGTGGTACGTTAATGACACCTTGCGTAATGACAATGTCATTTTCCCATTTTTTGATGGAAATCCAAAACTCTTTCCAGTGATTTCCAGCTCTGCTATTGGTCATCTTGTAAACAATGCCGGACGTTGCGAAGAAAGAAAAGGAAAAAAAGAAAGATAAACACGTTGTATTTGTCTGGCCTTATAATGTTTTCGTTTTCGATTTCGAGTTGATAAAACCTGTTGCAAAGGTTACACAACAGATTTAGTTGGGGTGCCTTCTAGTGGACGTGGGACGTAATAATAATAAGCTTGTGTATGTGTATATAATGAGCTTAATATAACATTAGGAAATTTGAATACCGTATATAACATAAGAAGCATTAGAAATTCAAAAAAGTGATTACATGGCAGGACAGCTCTGCTATGGACTGGTGGTCCATAGACTGGTGTCAGTCTCTGTGTTGGTGTTCATTAGGAACCTCTACAGTGTCTAGAGCAGGGGTGTCAAACTCATTTTCACCGGGGGCCACATCAGCAACACAGTTCACCTTGAAGGGCCAGTTGTAAATGGAAGGAGTTCCCAATCCCTGGTCCATGGACCGGGCCACATGGAGAAAAAGTGAAAAAAATGTGCTTAATTTTTACAAATTAACTTTGTTAATTACTGTGTAATAATAAAAAACTATTAATTTTTTAGGTTAAGAAATTCTGCTGCATGGACTTTTCTATGCCTTTTAAGCTCCCGCGGGCCACATAAAACAGCTTGGTGGGCCGCATTTGGCCCCTGGGCCTTGAGTTTGACACCTATGGTCTAGAGAGTCTATACTGACCTGTTCTGACCTCTGATGTTTGTCACAAGAACATATGAGTAAATTAACATGTGAACATATTTCCTCCTCCTCTTTTTCCTTCTTTTCTTCCTCTTCTTCTTCCTCCTTCCTCTACCTCCACGGTCCAGGTGATAAGTACTGGGTGTTCAAGGAGGTGACGGCAGAGCCCGGTTACCCTCACAGTCTGGTGGAACTGAGCAGCTCCCTGCCCAAAGACGGCGTTGACGCAGCACTGCGCTGGGAACCCATGGGGAAAACCTACTTCTTCAAAGGAGACCAGTACTGGAGGTACAACGAGGAGAAGCAGGACACAGATCCGGGGTATCCTAAACGCATCGGAGTATGGAAGGGAATTCCGGACTCACCGCAGGGAGCTTTCATCAGCAGAGAGGGCTGTGAGTGTCCGAACTTTGCTTCTCTTTTTTTTTTTTTTTTTAATGAAATGAACTTGAACATTTCACTGTGCTCTGTTACTTGCTGAGAAGCTGACATTAAAGTGTCCGATCCAACGTTGCATCCACATTTGACCCGTGAATTGGGAATGCAAAATGTCGCCACATGTCTGTGGGTTAAAAAAAACCAAACCAAAACATTTGACAGTGTCATCACTGTTGACTTAACTCATTACAGTGTGTCACTGATGACTCGGTGTAAGCAGCGTTTACTCATTAAAACACATCACACACAACGGTCGCTTCACCGACCGGTTTCTCACACCTCCACCCTCGACTCTGACTCTCAGCTTCTGTCCATCATCTGTGATGAAATAGAAAAGTCTCTTATAACTGGAGATGCCGATCTAACATCTCAGAATGAACCTTTACTCACTGTGTTACTATCCTCCTCCACCCATTTTTTTCCTCCCTCCTCCCTCTATCTCGCCTGTCTCCTCCCCCCCTCCCTCCCCCCCCCATCCTTTTCCTCCCTCCTTCATCTATCTCGCCTGTCTCCTCCCCCCCTCCCTCCCCCCCCCATCCTTTTCCTCCCTCCTTCATCTATCTCGCCTGTCTCCTCCACCTATCCCTCGCCTCCCTCCTCCCCCCATCCTTTTCCTCCCTCCTCTATCTATCTCTCCTGTCTCCTCCACTCTCTCCACTCGCCTCCCTCCTCCATCTATCTCGCCTGTCTCCTCCACCTATCACTCACCTCACTCCTCCACCCATCCTTTTCCCCCCCCCTCCGTCTATCTCTCCTGTCTCCTCCACCTGTCACTCGCCTCCCTCCTCCGCCCATCCTTTTCCTCCCTCCTTCATCTATCTCGCCTGTCTCCTCCCCCCCTCCCTCCCCCCCCCATCCTTTTCCTCCCTCCTTCATCTATCTCTCCTGTCTCCTCCACCTATCCCTCGCCTCCCTCCTCCCCCCATCCTTTTCCTCCCTCCTCTATCTATCTCTCCTGTCTCCTCCACCTGTCACTCGCCTCCCTCCTCCATCTATCTCTCCTGTCTCCTCCACCTGTCACTCGCCTCCCTCCTCCCCCCATCCTTTTCCTCCCTCCTCCATCTACCTCCCCTGTCTCCTCCACCCATCACTCGCCCCCCTCCCCCACCCATCCCTTTCCTCCCCCCTCCCCCCACCTCCCCCCTCCCCCCCCCCCCCCCCCCCCCCCCCCCCCACCCTTTCCCCCCTCCTCCATCTATCTCTCCTGTCTCCTCCACTCTCTCCACTCGCCTCCCTCCTCCACCCATCTTTTTCCTCCCTCCTCCATCTATCTCGCCTGTCTCCTCCACCTATCCCTCGCCTCCCTCCTCCCCCCATCCTTTTCCTCCCTCCTCTATCTATCTCTCCTGTCTCCTCCACTCTCTCCACTCGCCTCCCTCCTCCATCTATCTCCCCGGTCTCCTCCACCTGTCACTCGCCTCCCTCCTCCGCCCATCCTTTTCCTCCCTCCTTCATCTATCTCTCCTGTCTCCTCCACCTGTCACTCGCCTCCCTCCTCCACCCATCTTTTTCCTCCCTCCTCCATCTATCTCGCCTGTCTCCTCCACCTATCCCTCGCCTCCCTCCTCCACCCATCTTTTTCCTCCCTCCTCCATCTCTCTCTCCTGTCTCCTCCACCTATCCCTCGCCTCCCTCCTCCCCCCATCCTTTTCCTCCCTCCTCTATCTATCTCTCCTGTCTCCTCCACCCATCACTCCCCTCCATTCTACACCCGTCTTTCCCCTCACTCCTCCACCATCTCTCTTCTCCATCCTCCACCCATCTCTCCCTTCCACCTATCACCCCCCCCCCCCCCCCCCCACCCTTTCCCCCCTCCTCCATCTATCTCCCCTGTCTCCTCCCCCTATCACTCGCCACCCTCCTCCGCCCATCCTTTTCCTCCCTCCTTCATCTATCTCTCCTGTCTCCTCCACTCTCTCCACTCGCCTCCCTCCTCCACCCATCTTTTTCCTCCCTCCTCCATCTATCTCTCCTGTCTCCTCCACCTATCACTCACCTCACTCCTCCACCCATCCTTTTCCCCCCCCCTCCGTCTATCTCTCCTGTCTCCTCCACTCTCTCCACTCGCCTCCCTCCTCCATCTATCTCCCCGGTCTCCTCCACCTGTCACTCGCCTCCCTCCTCCGCCCATCCTTTTCCTCCCTCCTTCATCTATCTCTCCTGTCTCCTCCACCCATCACTCCCCTCCATTCTACACCCGTCTTTCTCCTCACTCCTCCACCATCTCTCTTCTCCATCCTCCACCCATCTCTCCCTTCCACCTATCACTCCCCTCCGTCCTCCACCCATTTCTCTCCTCCATCCTCCACCCTCAGACTACACCTACTTCTACAAAGGCCAGGAGTACTGGAAGTTTGACAACCAGAAGCTGACTGTAGAACCTGGATATCCAAAGTCCATCCTCCGTGACTGGATGGGCTGTGATCCGTCCGACGTGGACACATCGCCGGGCAGCGGTAACCGTGGAGACCGACAGCTGCCCCTGGACGACGTGGACATCATGGTGGCGATCAACGACGTCCCGGCCACAGTCAACGCCATTGCCGTGGTGATCCCCTGTATCTTGTCACTGTGTATCCTGGTTCTGGTTTACACCATTTTCCAGTTCAAGAACAAAGGAGGGCAGCAGAACACAATGACCCCGGAATACTACAAATACCCCGTACAGGAGTGGGTATGACGGCCACTGCTGCCCCCGCAGGCCACTCTATCAGACTGATGCTGAATGCTTACTGGACTTAGGAGTCAGTGTCGGGGACACCGATCAGAAACTCGTGCCTGCTCTGTGACAGAGTTCACTGAAAAACACAAACACAAAAAGACAGCAGTAGATGTTCTCACTCTTACCCAAGTCAGAGAGGTGGAGCGGACACTGAACTTTGTCTCCGTCTGGATCCAAGCTCCACACAACCTTCTCAGTGATTAAAAATTAAAAAAAGGAAAAAAACAACAGGAAGAAAAAGGAAAACAAACCTCAGAAACTGAGTTTGGTCTAGATCAGCCGGTTAGTCCGTAAAGATAAACAAAGAAAAGTAGGTTAAAAAAGGCCATAAAATAAAAGCAGGGGTCTCTTTAAGAAGACTCACTCTTAAAACTCTTTATCGCTTACGCCATCACACATCAGCTCTACTCCTGATGATGTCATCGCCCGGATCTGACCCTTGGTATAAACAGTAACCAGACCAGACATTCAGACTCTTTGTTGGACCTAAGATTATCACTATCTCCAGGTTGAAATGCCACCATCAATCACTTTCAAACACTTCTACAGCCAGTCAGGAAGCTACGTGAACAAGCTCCACCCACATGGTGCTAATGCTCTCCGACAGTCCCACACTCATATATGAACTGTTCCTGCTACTATGTGAGTTTGAAATACAACTACACTGACAACCTGGTTTCCCAAAGTGAAGGATTTGGAACCAGCACCTGTTTTAGCTCAAGCTACAGCTTTTTCTCCTCCTTCTTTTCTCCTCTTTCTTCTTCTTCTTCCTCCTTAGGTTCATACAGAACTGATGGACTGAAAACACCATCTTGCAGATATTGACAGTTGTGTAGTTGAGTGCGTTAAAACCCGATCTTTAAATATAAATTTGCCAAATCTAAGCTCAGACACCAGAAACCAAAATAGGAATCTTTTAGCACGTATTTATGGATTCTTATTTGACATGTGGTTAATCATTTGAATTCCCTTAGTTTTTCATTTAATAATAATATTAATTAAAAAATTTAATTTAGATTTAATCCTTAGATTTAATCCTTTCGATAACTTTATTTTTATAACCTTTTTGAAATGTAGCTACAGTTTTATTTGTAAAAGGAAAAAAACAAATTCGTCCAGATCAGATTCTGATGGCATTTAGATAAAATGGTGAAGGTTGGGTTTTGATGGTGTTGAGTCTGAAACAGCTAGAGTGAAACATTAGGATCAATAATCAGTGCTTTGCGGCAGATCTGTTAAGCTGTAAAGATCAGTTCAGCTTCCAAACATTTGTTAAGGCTGTGTGTAGAGAGGTGAATCGTCAGCGTAGAGAGTGAGAACAGTCAGAAGATCTGCACAAAAACAGTGGTGAAAATGAAGAAAAATCAGTCACTATGGGAAAAAAAAACCTGCCAACTTCAGCCACTACATGACAGTTAATCACATACAGAAAAGAACGTGAACACAGAGGAATGTTTCACTACATGTTACTGAATGTTCCAGTGATTTCTTTTATTTTGAATATTTTGTTATTTACACATAATGCATTACAATTGTTGTTGTTGAATCGTTTGTTGATATTTGAAAAGGTGAATGAATTCACGGGAGTAGCAAAGTAAAAGTCAAATAATAATAAACCTTTGGAATAATTGATGACGATGTTTTTGTAGAATAACTGAGTAAAGTTTTTTTTTTAAATCTGATGTGAAGTCAATCCTCGTGTCTGATTGGTTCTTCCTGCTCTGATAAAACACCCCCCATATTTGTACACACTGGTGGGGTTAGAAGAAGAAAGTGGGTTCATAAATATGTTCAAATGTTCACAATGTAAGTGGCGCTTTGGCCCAGAGGCAATGTCTCTCTGTCATTGGTGTAGAACCCCAGGGTTCACCTCCTGGGTAAGTTCGAATCCCGGTTAGGGCGGTTGGTACGTTCCAGTGGACTCATCACCCACAGGAAGGTTTAAGGGGGGTTGGTAAGTGTTCTCCTGGAGAATTTCAGATGTTTGCCATCTTTCTGGACCATGTTTCCTCTTGGATGGATGGATGTTCACAATGTTTAAACAAATACTTTGAAGGTGACGAAAGGCGAGAGAGAGGCTCTCATTGTTAAACTGGATTAAATCACGGTAACGTCTGACGAGTAAAAACCTCTTCGTGCTGCTGCACAGAGAAGGTAGAAGAAATTAGGTTGTCCTTCCAGAAAGATCTTCTCCTGAAGAATTTCAGATGTTTGCCATCTTTCTGGACCATGTTTCCTCTGGTCCAGGAAGTGGATGAGCCTCATCTTCATCTGTGTTTCATCATCAGTTCTTCTGCTCCACAGATGAAGAAGCTACTGCTCTGGAACGGCATTTAGTACCAGTTGGTGCACGAGATCATGAAACACATGTTGTCCACTTGCTTGTTTCCCATCCTGCACTGGGGCAGATCTCCAGTCTGACCTGCGGACCAGCAACACATTGATTTGACATAGAAAGGTTCAGTGTTCAATTGTTTGGTTTAATTCAGATGGAATCCACAGATGCAGCCCATGTGTTAGAATACAACCCACAAAGAAGTCCATACCATCAGGAGCAGCAGAAACTGATGTGTCCTGTTGTTCCTCCGTCTTCTCTCTGCTCTCCTCCGCCTTCCTCTCGTGGCTCTGGTCTCCACCCATCACTGACACCTGACCCACACAAAGATACTCACAGACTCAGACAGCGGGCTAAATCCCAAATCAGACTGACAGAATCATCTCCAAATCCTGGTGTTGTGGAGAACAGCTAAGCTTAGCTAATGACGCTAATTACTGCTCTAATTAGAAAAGGACAAAAATGTGGGGTTTTTTTTCATTTGTTTGGACAGAGGACCTGTTTAACCGGGTCATCTGAACCTGGACTGCATCATCAGCACCAACATCCAGCTTCGTGGCATCACTTCACCTCCACAGCTGTCAGGAGGAAGAGGGAAAG